AAAAGTAAAGTCTATTTTATATATTAGTAATATAGATACCTTGGACTTTTGATGATCACCGTGTGCATGGTATGTCTTTGCTTCTGTTCGCCTTCAGCCTATCTCAATAAAGTGCATACAGTTATGTCTTGCTTTCATATCCATTTTGACAATATCTGCCCTGCCTCTTAACCGTACAGTTTAGTACATTAACGTTAGAAGATAATTACTGATAGGGCTGGATTTAGGTTTACCACTTTATTATTTTTTTCCTGTTTGTCCCTTTGTTCTCAAGTTTATCCTTTCTTGCCTTATTTTGGATTTTTGACTATTTTTTGGAATTCACTTGCAACTTATCTATTTTTAAATCTTTTTGCATCATTTTTTAGTAGCTGTTCTAGGGATACAACCGTACCTTTTTAGTTGACTTGGGATGACTTCTGTCCTACTTCCAGTGAAAGGTAGAAGCCCTGAACCCATGCAGCCCCACTCAGCCATGGTTTGTATTATATCTACATATATCCTAAAACCTATAGGACAATTTTATAACCTTTGCCTTAAACAGCCCTGCTTATTCCTTTAAAATTAAGAGGGAAAAGTATTCCTTTATATAATCCAGATATTTGCCATTTCCAATGATCTTGATCTTTTCCAAAATATCCAGGTTTCAATCTGTTCTCATTTCCTATCACCTTGAAGAATTTCCTTTGGCATTTTTTCTGTAGTGCAGGTCTGCCAACGAAAAGAATTCCTTAGTTTTCTTTGACCTAAAAAAAGTTTTGATTTAACCTTCAGTCTTAAATGTTTTTGGCTGACAGAGAATTCTGATTTTGATATTTTCCCCCTCCTGTGAGCAATTTAGTATTGCTCCTTTATTGTATTGGAACGAGATATTGTTGCACTGTCTTCTGGCCTTCATAGTTTCTGCTTGTAAGTCAGCTAGTCTCAATTGTTGGTCTTCTGTTTCGTTTTTTCTCTTGATGATTTCAAGATTTCCTCTTTATCTTTGGTTTTCAGAAGGCCCACTATAGTGTGCCTGTGGTAGTTTTCTTTGTAATTTATCCAGCTTGGGGTTCACTCAGATGATTGACTCTGACTATGTCTCACCAAACTGGAAATATTTCAGCCATTAAGTTTTTAGATATTTTTGTGCCCCACTCTCTCCTCTCCAGAACTCCAATTACACGTATGTAAAATATTCTGATATTGTCCCACAGGTCCCTGAGGCTCTGTTCATATATTTTTTTTCAATCCTTTTTATTTTTTAAGTAATCTCTACACCCAACGTGGGCCTCAAACCCACAACCCCGAGATCAAGAGTCACGTGTTCTACATATTGAGCCAGTCAGGTGCTCCCATTTTACTCTTTATTTTATAGACTGGGTAATTTCTATTACGCTACATTCACCGACTCTCTTCTGTCATCTCCATTCTCCTATCAAACACAACCAGTGTTTTTATTTTGCTTTTGGGAATTTTTCCCCCCCGTAATTTCAGGTATTGTATTTGGTTTTCTAGAATTTCCCCTTTGTTTCCTATGATTTCTATGTTTATTTTTTACTGAGATTTCCTATCTTTGCATTTATTGTAAGCCTATTTTCCTTTATATACTTGAGGATGTGTATAATAGCTACTGTAACATCCCTGACAGTTATTTCTAACACCTGTATCGTTTTAAGGTTGGCGTCTGTTGATTGTTTTAGAGTAGGTTGCATGTTCTTGGTTCTTCATAGAATCATTTTTCATTGTATGCGGAACATTGTTAATATTACGTTGTAGAGGCTTTGGGTTCCGCTGGAGTCAAGCCACAGACCCTGTCCATTGGTAGCTCAAACCTCAGGTTGGGTGTTTTATCCATAGCTGGTGTCTGTCCTACAGAGGTGTGGCTCAGGGATCAGGCAGAACTTGGAGCAGAGTTTATGCACAGAATTTAGGCTCTCCTGAGCTGGCTTTCTTCTGTATGAGATTCCCTGCTCACTCTCTGGTGACTGTTGTTGTCCCAAACTCTGTCCTCTGTTCTTCAAGCCAAAAAGAGTGTGAATTTCTCCTGGAGATAAAGCCACTCTAACACAGGTGCGAACTTCAGTCTGGCTCAGCTTAAAAGCTACATAATGGAAGCTCATCCTGTGCTATTCACTTTTCTGAGTGTGGACTTCCCTCCAGAATCTGTCCTTGTTCATTCTCCAGTGCCTTCAAGTCATTGCTCACTTTTTTGTTTATTTTTGTTCTTTTGTATTTTGTCCAGAGCTCATAATGTTGTCTGTGGAAAGGTCAAATCCTGTAGGTGCTATTCAGCCATACTGGAAACAGAACACTTACATATACAAAACATGACAGAAATAGTTAAGGACCCTTTTGTTCTTCTCCTGAGGAATCTGGTATGTCTCCTACCTATTCACTTTTTATGTGGAGACGTCGTCTATGTATATTGTCCAAAAAGTGTAACACCGGGGTGCCTGGCTGGTTCAGTGGGTGGAGCACAAGACTCTTGATCTTGGGGTTGTGAGTTCGAGCCTCACAATGGGTGTAGAGATTACTTTAAAAAAATAAAATCTTTTTTAAAAAGTGTAATGCCGTATAATTCGTGAGGTAGATATAGGATGGGGGACTTTTAGAACTTTACACAAGTGAAAACACACAGTATTTATCATCCTCTGATTTTTCTTTTCCTTCTCAATGTACTATTTGGAGATCTGCCGTTGTTGAGACATACAGATCCGCTTCGTTCATTTTTACTGTTCAGTCACATGGATGTAACTCCTTTATCTGCCATTTCTTCTAGTGACGGACACTCAGGCTGCACCTAATTATTTGCTCTGCTAAGAGCACCGCAGTGATGCTCTTGTACCTACCTCTTCAGTTCCTTGCCTAGACACACAACTGCTGGATCAGCTTTACCTTCACCAGCTTGCTAAACTGCTCTCCAAAGTGACCGGACTAATTTCTCTCTCTACTGGCAGTACATAAAAGTGCCCGGTCCTCAAAATATGAACAGTGGTTATCTACGGGCAGTAAAATTTCAAGTGATTTCCACCTTCTCTTTCTACACTTTCTGTCACTGAATTTTTTTTTCCCTTCTGAGCAGTGGTTGTTCTTACAACAGCAGACTTTTTGTGACCAAACCAACAGCAGAACTTGCCCTTCCTTTCCCACGCTCTCCACGTCAGGGAAGACCACCACCCTCAGCTGCCTGCGTATCTCAAGATGAGAAAGCTGGGAGGTGCCCACGACCCTCTCCTCTGTCCCCTCCCTGCTCTTGCCTGTGTCCTGTGCGCACTGCTTTCGCTCTAAATACGCTTCTTTGTGCATTTCTTTGCTTATTCACTCCCCAACTATTCTGCAAGCCCCTGAGGGCAGGAAGTGCATCCTTCTCATTTCTGTATCTGTGGGACAGGCACTGCCTGCCCCAAAGCCGGTGCTCGAAAGCACACAGGGGATTGTAGAGTGGATACCGCCTTCCGCACTGTACCAGCAAGAAAAGGCTCGAGAAATGTACCCTACTCATGCACCCACCGTGGGAGGACAAGACCCCAAGCTGAGCCTTCTAGAACTCCCCACGCTGGGCCAAATGACTGGCCCAGGACCCCACAGCTGTGCATCTCAGCTGGTGGCAGAAGTGAGGTGCCCGGTCCTGGCTCCCCCCAGTGATGGCAGCCTGGCTCTCTCCGGGGCAGACCAGCCACTTGCTTTGCCACTGACTTTCATGTTCTGGACGGGATTCAATAAATTCATTGTGGATATCAGCTACAAGTTCTGGGCAGCCTGCCTAATCTCTGGAGTCACTTAAAATCTTTGTCGTTTCTGCACAAGTGAATGTTTGAACAATTTATTCCACACATCCTGTCAACAGAGACACCCTGGAGTCCTCATTTCCACATCACATTTCATTGTTTGGCGCTGAAATGCACCACGCGTGCTTGCCACACATTAGCGCCGTAATCGCTCTCCTTTGCTGTGGAAATGATAGGGAGATGGTGCTTTGATACAAGGAAGGGTGACAAGACCACGCCGTGCTGAAGCTGGGATTCCACAATTATCGTTCGTGAAAGGGAGACGGTTATCAGAGCAGCCACAGGAAAACGTCTTGGGGCCACCTCTCGGAGTCAGGAAATTTGAGACATACATTTCACAGCCGTGCGTCCCACCGTAAACCCTTCTGCATAATGCACGAGATTTGATTTAATGTCGTTGTTAATTCTGCTGCTCACAGCGGTGCACTCTTAAGGGACCCATCGTTTTTATTTCAGGTTTTTTTTTTTTTTTTCCCCTGGCAACAGAACTCTTGAGGCTTTTCTGGGCTTGTGCTGAATTGTGGGAGCACAGACCCCCTCCCAGGGGCAGGGGTGCAGACAGCAGGTAGCTTGTCCAGAGGCTGTGGCCGGGCCTCAGCTCTCCGTGCCGGGCTGCGGCGGGGTCAGAGCTGGAGGGCTGCGTTTGACAAAAGGAGAAAGGAAGGAAAGAGCAAGCCTTTGTGGCAGAAGAGGAAATAAATGAAACCACGGTCACTTTCCAAGCTGCACAAGAGGACCGTTCTGGCCTGGGTTAGCTGAGGGCCACGAGAAGGAGCAGGATGATAAAGCAGAGCGAGGGCCGGGGAGCAAACGGGAACCACCCCCCACACAGCAGGGACCCAGCCGTGTCCCCCCGGCTGACCTCCCGCCAGCCCGACACCCGCGGGAGCCCCCGCCAGAGCAGAAGAGACGCTCAGCTCACTGCTCGCCCGCAGACGGTAACAAAGAGCCGGGGCTCCAAGTCACTGCTTTGCCACACGGCATATGCCAGGAGCAGTGGACCTTGATCCCAGCCGGACGAGGGCTCCTCACCGACAGCCTCCCAGCATGGCCCCAGTTCAGCCACCCTGGGTTATGATTCTAAGGGACCCGTCACCTTATCTCAGGCCACAGCCCAAGAACGATGCAGAAGGGCCAAGAGTCAGAACTCTGGCTGTTCACTAGAAGTTTAATGGCAAGTTTACAAAGCACAGGAGGGCACACACGGACTTCAGTGTGGCGTTTCCCGCCCTAGCGGGGCGTCCCAGCTGCCGGCAGGGGCCGCGGAGGCACGGGGGGGGGGGCGGGGAGGGTCTGTCGCCTGTGCAGCCTTCAGCGAAGGGGCCGCCCCGCTCACCTGCCTCAGGGACGCCGGTGCCGAGCTCCCCACGGGCCTCCGGGGTGCTGAAGACCTCTCGTAGTGTTCGATCAGCAGTTTGGTGAACAAGTTCAGAGGCACGAGGGCGCTCAGGGAGGACGCCCCCCTGGGATGGCCAGATTAAATTCAGCCCAAAGACGCACGCCAGGTTGGAGCTGTTCATTTTGTTAAAAATGCTCTCCGGGGACACCTGGAGGACACCCAGGGGACCAGGCAAGTGACTGTGGGTTCTGTGCTATGGCCTTGTACAGCCAGCTCCCTGCTCTGGGCTTCAGTTTGCCCATCTGTAGAAGGAAGGACTCAGTCTTGATGCTCCAAGGGACCCTCTGGCTCTGACCGTCCGTCAGCTCCTTCTGGGATCTCCTCAGGGTCCCCTGGGGGGGGCCTCCACCACTGTGGGTGCAAGCATGGTGTTTGGTGTCACCCAGCCAGACCACGTCTCTGATGCCCACACTTTGGCTGGTGAGTAGGGCATAGTCAAGACTAACGAGCACGCAGGGCCATTGGAGGACTGGGGATGGTGGGGAGGGGAAGAGCTTGCCTTACAGCCTTGCAACCCCAAAAAGCAGGATACATCACCCATCTTACAGATGAAGAAGCTAAGGCCCAGAAGGTGCAGGGGACTTGCCCGAAGTCATGTGGCCAGTAGGTGGCAGGGGGGCCATCAGAGGGCATGGCCTGACCTCTTCCTTGCCTCCAGGGTCTTGGGGACCTTGATGAATCAGAAGTAGGCAATGCAGAGCCTCGGGGTCATGGGAGAGCATAGAACTATTGGGGGGGGTTGCACTGCCTGGTGACCCCCTATGGATCTGGTGAGGAAGCCCCCTGCCTCCACGAGACAGGCAGCCCCCAAGCCCCTGCAGGGGCACACCAGGGGCCAATGCTATGCAGCGCCAAGCCCCATGGGATGATTAATGTCAGTGTCATGGTGGAGGACAGAGAAATAAATCCATCTCTAGCTAATGAAAAAGAAGTAGAAAAAGAGATTAGGATAACTTAGTTTTTGGCTTCTAAGAAATAAGATCAAGGGACAGAGAGGGAGAACGAAATAGTTTATTTTTTTAAAGCAATCTCTACGCCCAACATGGGGCTCGAGCTCATGACCCCAAGATCGAGTCACCTGATCTACCAACTGAACCAGCCAGGTGCCCCCGAAATAGTTTATTTTTAAAACCGAGAGGTGGTGTTTGACAGACTCCAACATGTAACATTGGCTCTGCCTGGAGGTCCCCTCCCCTCCATTGGAGATCACATTCCCAGGCCACCTGCCATGAAGCAGGGTTCCCACATAAGCCCCGAAGACCCTGGGCAGGACGCCGCCATGGTGTCGCCACACTGGGTGGAAATGTGCCCCACGGCTGGGAGCCCCATGGCCAAGTCCTGCCTCGTTCATGCCTGCACCCCACACTGCCTACAAAGGGCCTGGACGGGTGAGTGTTCCAGGAAGGGTCAGACGACAGAGGGTCAGGGGTCTGGAAGCAAAGGGAGGGGCCCGTTTGGACCCGTTGAGGTTTTCCCTGTTGACCTCGAAGACCACTGCTCCCTGTCCCAGGTGTGGGGAGCTCAGCCCGGACCCAGAGCAGGGACAGGTGTTTCTCTCACTGTGCATTTTCTCACTCTGTGTAGGGGGTGGAATGGCAGCCCCACAACACAGATATCCACCAGGAGCCTGTGGATGTGACTGATTTGGACAAAGGGTCCTTACAGATGTAACCAAGGATCTCAAAGTGAGATCATTCTGGATTATCCAGGTGGGCCCTAAATGCAACGACAAGCATTCTTATAAGAGGAAGCGGAAGGAGATTTGTGTAGAGAGGGGACAAGGCCGTGTGGGGACAGGCAGAAGTGAGGTGGCCACAAGCCAAGGGATGCGGGAGCCACCAGGAGCTGGAGGGGGCGGGGAGGACCCCTCCCCCAGAGCCCCTCTGGGAGCACGGCCCTGCCCCCACCTGGATTCTGGCCTTCCGGCCTCCAGGGCCGTGACCAGACATTTCTAGGTCTCTAGCTGCCCAGTCAGTGGTACCGTGCTACGGCGGCCCCAGGACACTCGCGCACCTGGTGACACGTTCCTCTCTCAGGAACGGCCCGCTCAGTCTGCTCATACTGCGCGTCAGGCTCGGAGCCCTGGCTTGGGGACCCAGCCCCTCCCTGAACAGACAGCCCCTGCAGGAGATGATGCGGGAGCAGAGGACTCATCAGTGACTGAGGGGCATGGGGTCAGCAGAGGCAGGCACAGAAGTGGAGTCCTGTGGGCGAGGGAGACCCCAGACCCTGATCTGTGTGGGCACCACGTGCAGGAGGGGGCCCCCTGGGCCAGGCACAGAGTTTGGGCCTCCCCACTGGCGCCCTGCTTTGCCCACTCACCTCGTGCAGGAAGCCCATGAGGTAGCTGAGGACAGCATAGTTGTGTTCTGGAAGGCTCTGCAGGATCTGGCGGCAGCGGGTCACCCGCAGGCTGCTCTCCACACCTACAACGGCACAGGGTTCTTCCTCAGTCCTCCCCGAGGGGGCTGCATGGGCACAGGGAGGACAGCTCTGAGGACAGACTGTCCCGTCGTCGGGCCTGGGGGCCTCACTCACTTCCAGGTCATGTGGCCGTTCCCTGCAAAGCCCTCCCTTCCGAGGGCTCCAGTCCCTTCTTTACGCTGGTACTGCAACTATGACCTCCCAGATAGCGCATAAAGCCCAATCACTCACTTCATATGTGGGAATGGTCTACACCAGCAGTCAGCAAACTGCAGCCTGTGGGCCACATGGCCCACTTTTGTCAATAAAGCTTGACTGGCACAGAGCCACACCCCTTCATTTATACATCATCTGTGGCTACTTGTGCAGAACCGCAGAGCTGAGGATAGCAACACGGACTGACCCACAAAGCCTGAAAGACGACCTGGCCCTTTACAGAAAGTTTGCCAAGCCTGCTCCAGAACTGACTTAACCTGTCTGTGATTCCCTGCAGCTCAGGGCCCCCCATGCACCAAGAACCTGGGTGAGGCTGCCCCAGACTCAGACCCCCTCACTTTCCTGGTAACTAAATCCTCCACTGAGTTCCATAAGCTGCAAGTCAAAGTGCATCCACAGCGATTCCCCGGGTGCTCAGCACGCTCCTGCTGCAGACACACGTGTGCACACTCACTCCCACTTCCTCCAGTGCGCTCGCCTCCTCCAGCTAAGCCTTGGGCAGAGTTACTGTGAACACCGTGTGCGTTCCAAACACAGCCACTGCTGAAAGGCACAGATTTCCCTACCGTGAATGTTCTTGTTGGCCTTTTAATAAAAGCTCTTTCATGAACTCGAGCTGTCAGGGGTAATGTCAACGGACAGAGAGTCCCCGTGAAATTAATATTCCCAAGAAACCAATGAGCTTGGAGGCCGCCATCTTGGTGCCTGGACCTCAGCTTCCTGGTCTCAATGTCATCTTTCTACATATTATGGTTCCAGAGCGGTCCTTGTACAAGGTCTACCTCCAGCTCTCACCACAGTCCCTTCGAGAAAGAGCACTAAGGGGTGAGCAGGAGGGAGGCGCCTGCGGACTGTCACAAAGCACTTAGCAGGTGCCATGAGCGATGCCATGTGTTTTATGCACATTTAACCCTCAAAGCAGCCCCCATTCTATACAGATGAGGAAAGTGAGCTCAGAGAGGATAAGTGACGTGCCCAAAGTCACACAGCTAATGCACGGGGATGCCCAGACTTGGATCCAGATCTGTGCGGCTCTGAGCCAGTTCTCCTAATCTCCTTGCTGCAGATCAGACGGGATGTCCCCCCTACGATTTCCTTGTGCCCTGGACACTGCAGGCCACCCAGAAAGCCCATTCCTCCCCAGTGTATCCCAGAAAGGCTTGCTTTTGTTTCACTTCCAGGAGAAACCCATCCCACCTGAGTAGGGTTACCAGGTGAAATAGAGGACACCCAGGAAACTCTGAATTTCAGTTAAACAGCAACTATTACTTACACTAAAAAAAGTATTCATTGTTTATTGGAGATTCAAATTGAGGTGAGCATCCTGTATTTTTTTATTGCTAAATCTGGTGCCCCTATATGCCCATCAGCACGCAGCCGGGCCGAGTCAGGCCACAGCCCAGAGGGCGGGATCTTTATTAAAGCCTCTGGCAGCATCTCGGTTCTCGACAACTGGAACTCCGGGACTGTCTGATCTTAACATTTGCAGGGTGCAAAACAAAACTGGAAACAGCCCCAAACGTTTACCCAGAGAGTAACAAAGTGGACGGAAGGCTGCGCGACCATAAAAGAACGAGTAGATATGCACCCAAGGAGGGAAGGATGAGAAGACGGGTAACAGCAGAAAACATTGAGGAGGCCAGCTCGAAGCCAGAGTGCGTGAGCAGCATTCCTGGCCAAGCGGGGAGCGCGCACGGAGCCTCTGCTGGGCCCGCGCCGGCATGGGACCCCAAGGGTCGGCCGGGACTCCTGTTTCATTACAGAGCCTCTGCTCTGTTGATTTTGGGGTTTTTTGTTTTTTGTTTTTTGTTTTTTACACTCTGTGCTTGTGTTATTTCCATCATAATTCTTAAAAATTCTCAGCGTCTGCCCCAGCCCAGCCCCACCCCCTGGTGCAAAAAGGCCACAGGTCAAGCTCTGCTCCTAAGACTTGTTCTTTTGCAGCCAGATCTCTACCCACAGGCTGTGCTTCACTCATGGCACAAAACCCTGGCTGGTAGCATCACCTGGGAACTGGTTAGAAATGCAGATCGCGGCCCACTCTGGGGTGGGGCCCAGCGACCCCTGTTTTAACTTCCCTCTTCTGGGGAAGTCTGAGGACGTCAGTCACACTGCCAAGCCTTCCCCTCTGCTCATCCTCCTGCCCGGCACGCCTTCTCCTGCTCTCCTTCCGGTAATCGCCGACGCCCACCGTGAGACACACCGCCGCCGTGGGGATTCTGCCACCCTTGGGTCAATGATGTGCCTGTCCCTGCAGCTAGCCCGGCCGTGGTGGCCTGGCCTGGCCGTGGACACCGTGGCCCACCGTGCCAGACGGCAACAGGAAGATGCAGGGCAGCCCCTGCCCCCTGGACTGGTCCTCGGCTGGCACCCCCAGGGCAGGCACCTACTGGTGATCCCGAGAATCTGTTCATAGGCCCTGAAGGTCAGCAGTGGTTGGGGCAGCTCTCGCAGGAAGGTCTTCAGGATCACGGCAGGGATGTGGATGTCGCCATAGTCATCAAAGTTCACGGGCTTCCCTGGACACAGAACATCGTATGTGAGTTCTGATGGGGCTGGAGAGCCCACTTCACAACGGGCTCTGATGCAGATGGCTTAAAACTCCCGAGGGGAAGAGCTTTCCTGGAGCCACACATCCAGGGCGTGCCCATGTCACCTGTGGGACCCGGGGACGCTGCCGCTGCGCCCTCCTCTGCTCTCCAGAGCCCTGGGCTGTTCTGGGGGTGGGGTGGGGTGGGGTGGGGTGGGGCGGGGGAGCCACGCTACCCCGGCATTTGGGACTCTGCGGCCCTGGAGGGAGGTGCAGGCCGGCTGGGTGGGAGGCTCAGCACGAGGGGTCTCTGGGAGACAGACTCACCTGATTGTACAGACGCTGAATCTCGCGGATGGTGTGGACACTGGCCGATCTCTGGAACAGGCCCTCAGTGTGGAGTCCTACGGAGAGAGGACCTTCAGGCATCTCACAGGTCCTACCTAGCACATCAGGTTTCTGGAACATTCCATGACTCCTCCTGCCCACATATCACCCTCCTGTGGCTGGCAGGGAAGGCTCTCCAGCCTAGTTCATTCCACAGCCACCCCCACTGTCCAACATCCCCACTTTTATTCCTCAAACTACTATACTCCCCAATCCCACCTGACTCTACTTCTGCGGCCCCCAGGAAGGGAGCATCTAGACAGACAGACCTGGAGTCCAGCCCAAGTCTGCTCATCCAGCTGTGTGACCTCAGTGAAAGCACACAGCCACTCTGAGCTCGAACGCCCTGTCTACAGAGTAAGGCCACAAGCCCCTGCCTCTGAGGGCTGCAGAAAGGATCCACGGGACGAGCCATAGCATCCAGAAGGCTCCACACGTGCTGACTCATCCAGTATGGTAGCCACTGGCTGCACAGGGTGATTTAAATTTCCATTTAAGTAGTAAAAATTAAATAAAGTTAAAAATCCCCAGTTGCCCAATATATGAGACACCTCCTAGGAAGTGCTTGATTGGGCTATTGCCACCAGCAGCTAGAGGCTACCATTTTGGACACGGCGAATATAGAATGCTTCTAAGTGTTATGAGATAGCACTGGGCTCCCCTCCCAGTCTCTTCTCCATTCTGAAACCGAGTGAGCTATTCAACATTATACGTCTGATTCTGATCAGTCTGTAAATGGAGCCATTCCCCGTCTTCATAGGTAAGCTTCCCATGGGGCCTTACCACGGACCTGCACAGTCCGGCCTCTCCAGCCCCACTGCCGCCTCCTCCAGCCTCCAGTCTGCCCCACGCTCCTTACTACTCCCGGCCTTTGCATGCACTGTTCCCTCTGTGTGAGTGGCTGGTCCCTCTCTTTTCCTTCTGAGAGACTGCAGTAGGAAAAGTTCTGAGGTGGCTCCCAAATTCCTGGACCCTGTGGTGGGGACACTTTCTCCCAGGTATTCATCCAAACACTAGTCTACATGTTGCAGGGAAGGAACTCTGCAGACAGAAGTCAGGTCCAAAGCAGCTGACCTTAAGATGGAGATTATCTTGGGTGGGCCTGACCTAATCGGGCAAGCTTTTGAAAAGGGACCAGGTTCTTCCTGGCAACAGAGATCTGGAGCGTGGAGGCTGGGATTCGACATGTGGGAGGGTGTCTGTTGGTGGGGGCTGGGGGGCACATGGGAAGGGGAAAGTATGCCGCCTCTAGGAAGAGAAAGAGGCTGACAGCCGCCAAGGAAATGGGCATTTCTGCATGAACTGAGTGTGGCCAACAACCCCACTAATGAGTGTGGAAATCCAGAAAGAAATGCAGCCTGGCTAACACCTGGCGTTTCGCTCTGTGAGACCCTGAGCAGACCGGCCGCAGAGCACCCAGACTTCTGACCTATGGAAACTGAAAGAATAAATTCATGCCGTTCGAAGCCACTAAGTGATCATTTGTTATGCAGCAGAGGAAGGTGATCCAGTGACCCTCGGCCCACGTGTCAGAGCTCAGGTCCCCTGATCTCCAGGATAGCTCACCCCCGTGTAAGTCTGTGGTTGTCACAGCGTTAACGGAGGAAAACATCACGGAGTCTCTCGGTTCCGACCGTGAGCCCCCCAGAACAAGGGCTGGGTGCTGCGGTCACCACGGCAACCCCAGCACGTCCATCCAGGCTGGATGCAGGGAAGCGCCCGATGAGTACACGCTTAATCATGTACTCATCCAACAAATATATACAGAGTTCCTACTCAGGCCTGGGTTTTTTGTTTGATTTTGTAATAAAGGAATTGATACGTTAGACCCAGGGAGACTCCCTTTCACGGTTTCTGACTCATGGTCGTTAAGCACTATCTTCTGTCAGTTCCTGAAACACGGAGCAGAATGGGAAGTGCTGCAAATGACTTCTCGCCAAAGTAGAGACCATTCCAAACGACAATCGGATCCCCCAGCTAGAGAGGCGCTGCCTCATAGAGCTTTCTATGATTAGAACAAGCAGTTCCAGGAGCACGCCAAGTAACAGAGGACCAGGGACCCCAGCTGTGGTGGCTCCCACATCTCGTCTGATGCACCCCCACTCCCGCTCTGCAGCATCTGCACCTGCAGGTGGTCCCCCACACCGCCTGACGGCCTGTCCCACCCAGAGACCCATCCTCCTGTCAGGGTGAAAGCAGCCTCCATACCTCCGCCCTCTCCCTGTGGATCCGAGCTCTGGCATCAGGAGTCTTGGAGGGCCCATAAGACTCACCCCCTCTGGTCACTGAGTGCACCCACCCCACTGGGGAAGGCACCTGCAAACCAAGCTATCTATCATGTCAAAGGGGTCCCTTTATGGGGGGGCTTTACGTGTATCGTGTCATTTAGGCCCAGGTACTGTTACTAACCCCACTGGGCAGATGAGGAATCAGAGGCCCAGAGAAGGTAAGTAACTGCCCAAGGTCACACAGTCAGTACACAGTGGAGCCAGGATTCAAACCCAGACAATCCATGTGCTTGAGACCAGTCCATCCTGGTCAGCCTCCCTGCACAGGTTCCAGCCCCTCCAATTCCTTGGTCTGCAGGGTGCTCAGGCCGTGAGTCAGCCCCCTCCCCCAGGGAGGTGCACCCAGAGGCCCTCGCACCCCTGGCTGAAGTCAGGTCTCACTCACCTTTCTCTCTCAGGTAGGTCACTGTGAACCTCAGCAACCCTCTGTTGCTGGAAGCAACCTGCAGCAATCCACAGCAACCCATGCAACCCTCATTTTATATTTTAAACATCAGTAAGATCTTCCTTTTTAAAAAAATCCAGGGGTGCTTGGGTGGCTCAGTCATTAAGCATCTGCCTTTGGCTCAGGTCATGATCCCAGGGTCCTGGGATCGAGCCCCGCATCAGGCTCCCTGCTCCGCGGGAAGCCTGCTTCTCCCTCTGCCACTCCCCCTGCTTGTGTTCCCTCTCTCGCTGTCTCGCTCCCTGTCAAATAAATAAATAACATCTTTAAAGAAAAAGAATAAAAAATCCAAACTGAGAATCGCTGCCACTTACATTTAATGTAATTATCAATTTGGCTAGGTTTAAATCTACCATCTTGCTATTTGTTCTTTATTCATTTCCCCTCTTTCCTTGACTTTGTTTGGCTGATTATTTTTTAGGATTCCATTTATCTCCTTATTAATATATTAGTTGCATCTCTTTATTTGTAGTGGGCCTAGTTTTCCAATACACATATTTAATATAGTACAGTCTATCTTCAAGTAATATTAACACTACTTTACTTACAGTGTAGGAACCTCACCACTGTATACTTCCACTTCTCAACCACATCTTTTGTGTTAATGTCATATATTATACAGTATTCCAACATGTTATTTATTTTCTATTTACTCATATATTTACCATTTCCAAAACTCTTCATTCCTCTGTGAGGATCTTAATTTCCATTTGGCATTATTTTTCTTTTGTCTGACACACGTCCCTCAACATTTTTATCATGTAGGTGTGGAGATAAATCCTCTCAACTTTAGTTTATCTGAGAAAGCTTTTACTTTGCATTCAGTTTTGAAAGGTTTTTGCTGGGTATGTAATTTTAGTTCAGAAAAAAATTTTATTTCTTTTTAAATTTTTATTTATTTATTTGACAGAGAGAGAGCACAAGTAGGCAGAGCGGCAGGCAGAGGGAGAGGGAGGAGCAGGCTTCTCACTGAGCAGAGAGCCCGATGTGGGGCTCGATCCCAGGACCCTGGCATCATGACCTCAGCCGAAGGCAGATGCTTAACAACTGAGCCACCCAGGCGCCCCGAAAAAAATTTTTTTTAAAGATGAGAACTTTTAAAATTTGAAAAAGATATTGCTCCACTGCCATCTGACTTGCATCTTTCCAAGAGACATCTGCTGTCACTCTTATCTTTGCTCTTCCGTGGGTAGTGTCTTTTTTGCCTCTACTTTTAAGATTTGCTCTGTCACTGGTTTTAAGCGATTTGATTATGATGTGCCTTGGTGTCATTTTCTTCCATGTTCCTTATGCTGGTGGTTCATTGAGCTCCTAGGACCTGTGGGTGTATAGTTTTCATCAAATTTAGAAAAATATTCTTCAAATTTTGTCATCTTCTTTCTGGAACTCCAATTATACATATCCTACACTATAATATTATTTTTTAAAAGACTTTTGGAATATTTTAATTCATACGTTTTAATTCATTATGTAATGATAGCACAATCTATTTTACAAATTAAATGTATGACTATATATGAAATAGAAATGGGAGGACAAAACTAAACATAGGTCAGGAAAATGAATTTTTCCAACACCAGGTGCCAAAGGAAGACACGTTGCCTGTAGAGCCCAAGGAGGAGTCAGGGAAGGTGACAGGAACAGCATCGGCTTGTGCTGCTTGTGTTCGTTCCCTGTGTTTGCCACAGGTTGGTCTTTTCTTTCTCTTTGTGTTTCATTTTGGATCATTTGTATGGCTAGGTCTTCATGTTCACTAATCTTTTCTTCTCTGATGCCTAATTTTCTATTAATCCCATCCAGTGTGTTTTTCATATTAAAAATTGTGTTTTTCATCTCTAGAAGTTTCACTTGGATTCTTTTTAAGATATCTCAGCATGTTCATGGTTTCTTCTACTTTCTTGAACATATAGACCATATCTGTAATAGTGTTTTATTTTTTTTAAAGATTTTATTTGACAGAAAGAGATAGCGAGAGCGGGAACACAAGCAGGGGGAGTGGGAGAGGGAGAAGCAGGCTTCCCGCGGAGCAGGGAGCCCAAAGTGGGACTCGATCCCAGGACCCTGGGATCATGACCCAAGCCGAAGGCAGACGCCTGACGACTGAGCCACCCAGGCACCCTGTAATAGCGGTTTTAATGCTCTTATCTCCTAATCCCTTCAGCTCTGTCACTTGTGTATGTGATGGTTAATTCTGCATATCAACTTGACTGGGCCAAGGGGTGCCCAGCTATTTGGTTAAACATTATTCTGGATGTGTCTATGAGGGTACTTTTGGATGGGATTAACATTTGGACTGGTGGGCTGAGTAAAGCAGATTGCCCTCCCTAAGCAGGTGGCCCTCATCTAATCAGTTGAAGGTCTGGATAGAACAAAAGGCTGAGTAAGGGAGAATTCAGTCTCTTCACCTATCTCTGAACTGGGACATCAATTTTCCCCTGCCTTTGGAGTCTGACTCAGACTGGCACTACCCGCATTGGCTCTCCTGGGTCTCCAGATTACCAATTGCAGATACTGGGACTTCTCAGCCTCCATACTCACATGAGCCAATCCCTTATAATAAATATCTTATTGGTTCTATTTCTCTAAAGAACCTATACTAACACACTGGGTCTGTTTCTACTGATTGGTTTTTCTCCTAGTTACAGAACATGCTTCCCTGTTCCCACCTTGTACTTTCTCTTTGGGAATTTTATGTTGTTGGTTGCTGGATTTTTTTTTTTTTTTTATATTCCTCTGAATGGAGATGAACTTTGTGTGTCTTGCTTTAAGTCATCTGGGAACAGGTAGATCCTTTCAAGGATTGCTTTTAAGTTTGCAAGGGAGGCTCTAGAGCAGGGGTCAGCCTAGGGCTAATGTAACTCCACTACTAAGATGGAAACTTCACCCAGTGCTTTGGGTACTGAAGTCTTTAGCTGGGAGAACACTTGCCATTGTCAGCCCTGTGTGAGCTCTGATAGTTTGGGGGCCTAGTACTTTCCAGTGGTGCTTTTAATTTCCTTTCATATATAAACAGTTTAAACACTCAGCCAAAGACTAGAGGGTACCTTCTCTAGATGTCCAGAGCTCTCTGTGCAGCTCCCTCCTCCCTGGAACTCTGTCCCCCAACGTCACCCAACTAAAGTCCCACCAACTCTGAACTCTGTGACCTCACTTCTGCAAGAACACTGACTCTGTCTGGCCTCTCCCTGCCCTGCAGCCTGGAAATGCTCTCCCGGCAGTGGGCTGGGGCAATCCCGGGGCTTGTGGCTCTTCTCTCAGGGATCACAGTCCCGTGCTGCGTGTTGCCCAATGTCTGAAAATGCCTGTCTTCATCATGTGCTTCTCTAGTTTCAGGGAGGACAGTAAATTTGTTCCGTGACTCAATCATGGCAAGAAGCAGACATCACCCATTTATCGTTGGTGGGTTTCTGGAGGCGGAGAGGTGGCCTCATGCCTGGCTACAGTCCGTGGTACCCTCCAACCTTCCCTGGCTCTCATTCTGCTCCATCAACAAGTAAGACCTTTGAGAAAACGGGGGCAGTAATGGGGCAAGTATATCTACCCCTCCAATCCTAACACACAAATACGGACCTCCGCCTCTTCCCCTGGCTCCCCAAGAACAGCCCAAAGTTCAGCAATCCTCAGCTCTTTCAGAAAAGTCAGTCACCTCACAATTACATTACTCCTTGCTATTCGCTTGCATATATACTGTTTCATTTGATTCCAACGGGGTGGAATGAGACAGCCTAGGCTGTTATTACCCCTGCTTCACAGATAACAAGTGAGGTGCCCAGTAAGAGAAGTTTTCTGTCCATACCCCACAGCCGGCCACAGGAGGGGCCGGATGCACAGTCAGCTTTCTCTCCGTGATTCCTCGAGACACGTGAGACACGTGTGCTTAATAACAGCATCGCTGTTACCAAAATGCAGGTTAAAATGTAGCCACTGGCATATGGTTCCATTATAATGGAACCCAAGGTTGGAAGTAAGCAAATAACCAAATAACCAAAAACTGTGTCGAGGACTGAAGGTATACCAGTTGATCTTCCTGGCCTCACCAGAACTAAACTCGATGTGAAAATTTTGACTGAAGCAACCTTAGGACATTTCCTTCCTCTTCTGCCACAAGAGTTCTCCCAGGTGCACTGACTTCCCTGAAGCGTAGCGAGCCCTGAGATTCCCTGTGCCCGCCGCCCCCCCACCACCCAGTGGCCCTGAGGACGCTGTTCCAGGCCCCTCCTGCCAACACTAGCTCTCTTTCTTCCAGCTAAAAACACATCTGTGCCTACATGTCACACACTGACTAGACCCGGGTCCCAGAGCTGCAATGGGTGTTCGGGTTGGGGACTCTTTTCTTCACCATCGGCCACCCCCACCTGGTGGGTGAGCCTGGGGATCACCTCAGGGAAGGCAGTGAGCACAGGGGAGGGTGTCCTCTAGGAGGCGAGGGAGGGTCTGACAGGGAGGTGTCCACTCCCCTCGGGAGCCCCTATGTTCCAGGGCAAGACGGGCCAACCCTGGCACGTGGTGATGACCCACAGCGTCAGGCTCTAAGGAAGCACATGACCTTTCTGGAAGGGGGAGTCAACAGTACGTGCCCCGAACCTTAAAAACGGCCACATTCTCTGATGCTGGAAATCCACCCACTCCTAGGAATTCATCCCAAGGAAATGATTCCAGATGTGTGTGCAAGGCCTGAGTCAGCTTCAGTCTCTTCACACGCAGCGTCCACCACAGGACGTGAGACACGGTAAAACAGTAGATACTTCGGGGATAACGGGAAGAGCAGATTTCCGTGGTATTCTCGACAGAGAACGCTGGCTGGGCACCATGGTGGGGCAAGCGAGTGTTTGCTGCTAAGTCTTCCTTCCCTCTCTGCCTCGCCAGGCCTTCCTGCAGGACGGCCACCTCCCTGTCTCACTGATGGTGGCTTGGCCATGTGGCCTGCTCCGGGCTGGCAGCAGGCGTGATGTTTACCACCTCCAAGGAGACGCTCTGAACGGGACTGTTGTAGCGTGGCTTGGGCACGCGCGCTCCCCTCCTCCAGCAGGACAGCAGCCTGTCCCCGAGAGCCCACTCTCTCAGCCTGGCGTCAGAAACAGAAGACACGCGGAGCTGAGCCGAGCCGCCGCCTACACGCACACCTACACAACCTAGCGAGAGCTGACAAATACACATGGGAAGAAAGACCGCACGGCTCTCAGGGAGCTCAGAGTGCATATTGTAGAGGAAGTATATTTCAGGGACACCTTGAGGAAGATGTTGGACTTGGACGGGACACACGGGGAACGCAGGGAACATGCCTGAAGGTGAGAAACGGCTGGAACTCCGGTGGGGAAACTGAGGCCCTGAGCATTTCAGCTATCGGACCAAATAAGTGCAGGGCCAGGATTCGAACCCAGACCGGCAAGCTCCAGAGTCCAGCCTCTCAGCACAACACCAGAACTGGAACATACACAAAAGTCACAGATGAACGGGAATGAAGAGTGTGGTTGGCGATTACCCACTAATGGCACGCGCGCTTGGCCCCCAGGCGGAGCGTCACCACTGAGATGCACGGGCAGCCGAACAGAAGCCGAAAGCGTGGGCTCTGGCGTCCGACTTCCTGAGACCGAATCCTGGCTCTGCCGCCACAGCCAGGAGACCCAGACACACCACTCAACCTGCCTGTGTCCCGTGCCTCTATTTCCTCTTCTGTTAAATGGGGTGACGGTCGTGCCCGCCTGCCAGGGTGGCTGAGTTAGCACCAGCAAAGCCCTTAGGACAGGCCCTGGTACCCCAAAACCATTCAGGAGATGTGACTTACAGAACAAATGACGTCACATGATCCAAAGACCCAACAACTGTAAAAGGAAGAATTAAACTAAAACTCACCTCACACTCTTGGCCGTGGATGCTTAGCGGGATGCTGTGGTAAATGCACATAAATTCTTGTCGCCTTCAGACTCCTCTCCTGCTAAGACCCTGGCACACTCACCCACGAGCAAGGCAGGCTTCCTCTTGTCCTCTCTCGGGGCCAGAAACTGCAGCTGGGGCCCCCCCGAGAGGCAGTCCCCCACTGATCAGGCCCGCACAGTCTCGCGGCCTGGCACGCGCTCACGTGGGGCACGCGCCACTGCTGTGCATCTCAGCTTGGATGCTGCAGGCACACAGAGACACACCACAGATGCTCATCCCTCCCACATCTCTGGCCTCCTGCTGGCCCACAGCCTGCCCTCCGCCCAGCACACCCTCCTTCCCTGCTCCAGGCTCAGGCCAAAGTCCTCCTCCTCTGAGGCCTCCTCTCTGCGGGCCACGGCTCCCCATCCATCATGCCCTCGGTGCTGTGTGTGGACCCCACGACACCTACAGCCTTCTTCTCTGAGTCACCATTGTTGACAACCCTTGTCACAGAGCACCTCGCCCATGGTACCAAGAATGCTGACAATGGCTGACGGCCAAAGGTCCTGTACTGTGCAGACATGGCCCAAGTGCCCAAAATGTATTAACTCACTGAATCTTCGGGACAGTTCTGGAAGTTTCCATAATAAACCCCATTTACAGACAAGGAAACCGAGGCTCAGAGGGTTCATGGAACCTGCCCGTGGCCACATGTGTGGAGAATCATCAGTGGCCACTGTGGACGTCTGTGTCCTAACACCTGGGAGCTGTGAATGTGCTCCCTTCCACGGCACAAGGGACTCTGCAGGTGACAGGCGGGGAGATCACCCCAGACTGTCCGGCAGGCTCAACAGAAGCTCACAGGAGGCAGGAGGGCCAGACTCAGAGAGGAGACAGACGACAGAAGCAGAGGTCAGAGCAAAGCACTTTGAAGGTGGGGGACAGAGCCATGAGCCAAGAAACCAGGAAAGGAAGCTCTTTTGACCAAGAGAATATGGCAGAAGCAACTGTCTCGTTTCCAGGCCCCGGCCTGAAGACTCTGGCGGTTTCCACCTGTCTCAGGAATCCCCTGCCAGAAGCCGTGAGCTGCCCCATAAGAAGGGCGGCCACCTCGAGGATGTCCTGTGGGGCGGCCGTGTCCCAGCTGAGCCCAGCCTTTGAGCCATCCCTGCCAAACGCCAGGACATGAGGCAGCACCTCGGACCGCGGACCCCCTGGAGCCGCTGGGCCACACTGGACACCAGCGAGTAAGCTCTGCCAGCGCCACATGGAGCAAACCTGCCCGGCTGAGCCCCGCCCGAATGGCCGGCCCACAGAAATCAGGCCACAGAACAAAACGGTTGCTGTCTGAAGCTGCTAAGTGCTGGGGGGCCTGGGATGCACAACGGGGAACCGTCGTCAGGAGTGTGCAGCCAGGACTCAGAGCCCCGAGTCTGAACCCACAGCCCCTGCTCCTGTATCTTACCCATTTAGTTTCCATCGTGATTTCATGAGCCCAAGTTAGAGACCGGACGTGGATGCTGGCAGAGGCCCCATGCGCGGCTCGAGGTCCTGCAGCCCTGCGGTGGCAGAGCCGGCAGTGAGGTCCGGCCCAGCTCAAACCTGCCACCAGCATTCTGCAGCGACTCATCAGGTGGATGTACCACCAATGCTGCTCTTCCTTGTGCTCCAAGATTTGCAGAGGAGGCCTAAACAAGTGGCCCTGTGAACAACATAAAAACAGCACCAACAGTGCCAACGGGCCCTGACGAAGGTCACTGCCTTTGTGAGTCCTGTCGCCATGGGAACATGGGCGGACCCTCCCCACCCATCCCCGACTTGGCTCCCTGTGTCCCTCTGGAGTAGAGTCCAGGCCTCTCTGCACCCCTGGGGAGGGAGGGACGTGGTGAACGGGATGAGTGGCTCTTTTCCTCCTCCTGCTTCCTTTGGGAGCCAGACAGAGTGGTATAAGCTTTGGCCCTGCCCTGAAGAGGTGGGTGGCCCTAGGCCAATATCTTAGCCTCCCCAGCCTCTGTTTCCCCAAATGGAAAGCAGAGATGCTGGCACCATCCCTCCAGGGAGCTGCAAATAGTCAATGCCGAGGGACGTGGAAGGTTTTGTTGAGCTCTGAGTCAAATGTACTAACAATTAAAATCACTGGACCGCCAGGGGCCGGGCGACTTCCCAGGCCAGGTACGGGTGGCCCATTTCAGGTGAAGACGCAGGCTAAGGACCCTGCAGTGACTGGCCCAAGGTCTCCCAGCTCGAAAGCCTGGGTCTGTTCATTCCAAAGCCCGCACTAGTTAACATTTTGGGGAAGGGGTCCCCCTGAGACCTGCAAAGTAGGCCAGACAGTGATGAGCTACGCAAAGACCCCCTTGCCTATAACTTAGCCCACGTTTCCTTTTTCAAAAGCAGGCTGCCGGGGCAGGAACAGGCCTGTGAGATCATGAGAAACTGAGGTCCCAGAAGTGGAGGGGTTTGCTCAAAATTGCGAGGCCCCCAGCCAAACCGGCCTCCTCACCCGTGCATGCAAGGTGCATTTACTCCAGCTGGGCCTCTCGTGGTGAGCAGCAGAACCGGGTCCTGGCACTCCACCATCACTCTCGACGGTGCAGAAACCCACGCTGTGGATATCTCCTCCCTCCCCATCCCCACCCGCTGGCTTGGAGAGAGGCCTGCTCAGCCCACTGAGTCAGGGCAGAGAATGATCTCTGCCCTAGGAGCTCTGGATCAAAGGTGCTTCCTGGCTGGGTGGGGGTGCCCAGGGCAGCAGCAAACCCTGTCCTACCATGGCTCCCCCGTGCATCCCCATGTGTGTGGGCCTGGGCCAGCCTCCACAAGGAGGCACAGACTATTAAACCCACACCCTGAACTGAAGCTCCAAGGCGCACACCGGGCGCAGGG